TTAATCTCATTTTATTATCTCAATTTATCAAAATACATCACCCCGACTTTTGGCTTCGCCAAGAATTTCTTTTACGGCATAAGCCATTAATTCGCACTTTATGATCGAAATAAATTCACAATTTTCGATTGAATTTTTATAGTACATGTCGTGTAGGATTCTCACTGCATCGTTCGGTGAATCACATTTTTTTTCGCCACTCATCCATATATCTTGTAAACGCACAACGAGTTCTTCGAAGATTTCATGTACTGTTTCTAGATCATCATACACATGAAAGTATATGCGATCTACACAGTGTTCCAGTTCAAACAAAAATGATATGGTTGATGGTTTCATGTACATAGAAGTATTATTTGATGTTACTTTTACAATATTTCCGTGGCGCGTTCTAACTAGTTCTAGAGCTAAATGATTAAGCTGTACCGCTGATGATGATGCCGCATCTGTTGCCTTTAGCAGCTGGTCTATTTTTGATGGATTTTTTCTGTATTCTTTCCAAATTGATTGATCTAACTCCATCTGATGTCCTTGATTATCGCCGAGAATTATTTCTACGTAGGATGCACGAGGTACTACTCTGATCCCAATATCTATATATTTGAATGCTGCAGATGTCAGCGGTAACCTCCTGCACATGATACGCGGTGGGTTATGAGGTTCATCAGAACTGAAAGAATATATAAAGTAAAATAAATACAATTATATGTGAAAAAAATGTGTGTAAATATGCAGTAGCTTTATGGTACTTACACGTCACCACACAGTTTCTTGCACGATGTAGTTTCATCTTGAGGAACGGATGGCGTATAACTGCTTCGAGGAACATACGGCATGTAACGCCGATTGCTAAAACTGTTTGAAAAATACAATTAAATGTGGAAAAAATGTATACAATATATATGCAATATATATAACTTACGGTACTTACGCGTTACACTGTTTCTTGGACGACATATCCAGAGGAACGTAATGATTCATTCTTCTAACACTGTACTGGAAACACCGGAGAAATCGACTCACTTCGACGGCGACGACTGAAACTCTGAGGGCGTCTTTACTAGTTGAAGTCCCAGGAAAATTTTTAACTTACCCCACCCTTAACCCTACATCTTCCCCCGCCCACTCATCAGAATAAGATAGAATGTGATAGAAAATATATTGTTAGTTACCTTTTACAAACTACAATTCTATATCTCCAACAGAGTTTCTCCCTCAACCAGTAAAGAATTTTAATCCTCCATTGAACTGATTACTCCAGGAAAGAATTTTAATCCTCCCATTATTCTATTTACTCCAGGAAAGAATTTTAATCCTCCCATTATTCTGTTTACTTCAGTAAAGAATTTTAATCCTCCACTAATCTGTTTACTCTATAGAAAATCCTCCCTCCCCCGCACCGTCGCGGTCGCACAGTGGTCTGGAACGGACAAACACCTGTTCAAAATAGGCTACAGGTCGTATTTCTTAACCGATTTTAATGTTTCTTGAACAGAAATACTCGGAAATAAATTCTGAAGAGAACTGTGAGAGCCGAATTTTGATTTTTTGTGTTGGTGCAAAAATATGTAAGAAAAAATGTGTTAAACTAGCACTTTTCGAATAAATTATTTTTTATCTGACTCCAAGCTACTTTAACAACCTTACTATCGATGAAAATCAATACTGTCCCATCATAAGAAATAAAATAATTCAATAATAATTTAACTTAATTGTTATTAACAAATTATTCAAAGAAATTATGGTTCCCCGTGCTTTATCACAGAAATAATTAGTTTCTTAACTTAATTGGTCTAAAATTACTATAATAATGATTTCTAACAAAACTTGATTGTAAACTAACAATATCCATTATTATAAACAATCAAATAAACAAATAGTAATTTTTAGATTCCTTATTTGAGGGTATTTTAAATATATGAATTAGTTACACGTAGAATTATGAATCAATAGATATTAGAATTACGTTAACAATGTAAATTTGTTGTTAATAACCAACACATAAAAATATAATCAAATCATTGATCATGCTCGCGCGCGCGCGTGTAATGTAAATAATTGTGTAAATTGTTCCTGTGACAGGAAATATGTTTTTTAAACGGTTTAGTCAGCTTATAATTGGTATTACTGAATTAGCACGCAACAAAGATTTTAAGCGCTTCCGAGAATTTCATACTCGAAGGTATTCTCGACTGGCAGCAAATCAAGATCTCATCCACAAATTGCTTGTGTCTTCTGATCTGTATATCGCTTCTTTAAGGCAACAATGGACAAAGCTGGAAGATGAGGCCGATATCGAAATTATGCAGCTAAA